GTATGGGGTAGTAACGCCTATATTAGAGGGGGGGCCAGGGGGCCAGCAGGGGCAGGGCCGGGAGGCAGGGAGGGGTGGCCAAGGCGCGGCCAGGTTTTCCTGAGCTTCAAGCCCCCTAAACCCTAATCCCTAAAGCCGCGCCTCCCCGAAAAAAATCTTAGCCCTTCGGTCCTCGAAAAATCCTCCTTGTAGCCCTGATTGGGCCCTAAACCCTAAACCCTAAACCCTAAACCCTTAACTCTTAACCCTTAACCCTTAACCCTTAACCCTTAACCCTTAACCCTTAACCCTTAACCCTAAACCCTAAATCCTAAACCCTAAACCCTAAACCCTTAACACTTCCTAAACCCCTCAATCCTCAACCCGGAAGCCCTCAGTCTTAAACCCACAGGAGGACCTCAGGGTACTAGGGTTCGAGGTCTGTAGGGGAATCTCACAGGGCTTAGGGTTTAGGGTCTTCAGATTACGGGGGGGGGCTCTTTGTGTTGTCGGGCACCCTGCATCGTGTAAGGTTCAGGGTTTCTGTGAGGTTTAGGGTTTAGGGTTCATGTAAGGTGTAGGGTTTGGGGTTTAGGAAAGGTTTAGGGTTTAGGGCGTATGTAAGTTTCAGGGTTTAAGATGTGGGGAGAGGGCTAAAACTTCTGGAGGGTGTTAAGGTCACGTCTTCCTCTCTCAGATTCAGGAGACCTCGGTTTCGCTGATGGCTTCAAGCTTCAGGAACCGGCCACCAGTCAGCACGCTTCGGGCGGGGTTGCAGGTAAGGCCGGAAAGCTACTGGATGTGCGTGGGTTGGGCTTGGCTTTTGCGCCGTACAAAACCGAAACCCTGAACCCGAAATACCACCCGCCCTACCAAAAGTAATTGCCCTGCCTGCGAGGCTTTAGATGTAGCGTCCAAGATGGAAGGGTACTGTGGAGGTTAGCGAGGCCGCAACCCTAACACTCAACCCCAATTGTTCCTTATCTACCCAGGCTCCACAGCTGCCTCAGTGGCGCTACATGCCCTCCATGGCCAGGCGGCCCTCTTGATTCCTTGGACGGTATCTATAGGGCTTGCAGGGTTGAGGCTTGCAGGGACGTCGGAGGTAAGGTGCTTCAGGGATGGGGTTTATGGCTTCAGGGCATGGGGGCCATGGAACACAATATAAGACCTACCTAGCGCTTTCGGTTGTAGAATCTTTCAAGGTAAAGGTGGTTTTTCCTTGCAGCTCATCAGGCGAGAAAGAAAACCCGCTGCACGGGTGCCCGCACCCCGTGCGGGTACCCGCACCCCGCGCGGGTACCCGCACCCCGCGCGGGTGCCCGCGCCCCGTGCGGGTACCCGCGCCCCGTGCGGGTACCCGCGCCCCACGCGGGTACCCGCGCCCGACGCGGGTACCCGCGCTCTGTGCAGGTACCCACGCCTACCTTGAATGGGAATTGATGTCTTTCCTTCAATGACACAGTCAAATTTACATCTGGTGTCGCTAAAGGAGTTGTCTGCTTAAAACATTAAAGTCGATCCGTAAAAAGTTCAAGGCTGGGTGCAGTAACCGCGGTGAGGGTGCTTGTGCCCGCGTGGGGCGCGGGTACCCGCGCGGGTGCGGGTACCCGCGCCCTGCGCGGGTACCCGCGCCCTGCGCGGGTACCCGCGAGGTATGTTCGAATGTCAAGAGCCTGGCGCAGGCAGAGAGAAATTGAAAGAGTTGACGTCTGTCGTTCCGATACTCCTTGCAAAGACAAGAAATCTACATGTCATGTTCCTAAATCAGGGTCTCTTTTTGGGTTTAGAGTTTAGGGTTTGGGGTTTAGGGTTTAAGGTTCACTGTAGGGTTTAGCGTTTAAAGCTTACGGTTTGGGGTTTAGCGTGTAGGGTTTGAGGTTTAGGCGGCACTCTTTAAAGCGGGACAATCCAGCGGAAACTGACGTCGAAAGTGAAACTACTACAGCCTCAAAGCCTTATAAGTTCTATCATCGCACCAGGCCCTACGTGGGTACCCGTGCGCAACGCTGGCTGCAGCCGCCGCCAGGCAAGGGTTTAGGGTTTATTGCCTGTAGGGCTGAGGGCTTCGCTACTTCCATGGGGCCGGTTCTCATGGCCTCGTCATTGGGGCTTGTACCAACCTTTATAAGCTGACATATAGGCCCCTGTACGAGGCTACTCGATCGAAGACTGTGACTTCAAAGCCTGGCCACAGGTTGCTCAGGTGAGTGTATGTAGGGTACAGCAATAGGCATCAGCGAAATCGCAGAGTTCAGGGTCTTCTTTGTTTTTTCTCCTGCCCCTGGCTGCCCTTACGGGTCCTGCAGAGACGGATGCCCTTCAGGAAATTGCGCCTTGAACCCCAAACCCTCAACCGTCACATGGCCGCCGTGCTCAAGTTTAGTGGAGTGGTCCGTGCGGTGTTGCCGAGATATGGCCTCCATCAGTTTCTTGAACCTTGTATACCCTTCACGTGCTCATGCGACGTCGTCGCAATCCCTGAGGGCATGATTCTGAGTGGAGTGGTCAGTGCGGTGTAGCTGTAGCTGAGATACGGCATCCATGAGTTTCTTGAAGCTTCTAGACGCTTCACGCGCTCATACGAATGCTTCGAGGTAGGCGGAGTTCTAAAGGGTTCAGAACTCGTTTCGCGCGCCATGTCGGACTTTCAGACGCCCGAGCATAGGATCAACAGGAGGTACCGCTCCCCCAGTGCTGAGCCGCCAGCTGGCAAGAAGAGACGGCGCGTGCAGCCCCAGGCCGGTCCAGGGCAAAAGGTTCATGTAAGCACCTCGTCCTGGGGCTTTTTTCTAAATTCTCGACAGACTTGTGAGGCGGTCCCGGTCGCGTGTCTTGTCGCAGAGCCTTCGCAGCCGAGCAGTGTGGACTGCCGCCCTGGCAAGTTCAAGCTGAAGCTAGCCGAGTCGTCTCTCGTCAAGCTCGAGGAGGAGGGCTCGGCGGACTCGGAGGATGATGGCAGCGATGTTGCAAAGCGCAAGACATCTTGTCGAGAAGAAACCCGACGTGAGAAGCAGTCCCAGAAAACTGGTGATGACAAGGAGATCCGCCCGAGTAGCCTGGCAGCACGTTTATGCGCTCATGCTCTTGAAGATTTGATGTCTTTGGATGAAAAGTATTTCGTATGTCTGGCCGATATGGAGTCAGGGTTCGGCAGACAGCAAGTGTGGGGGGGGGGGGTTTAGGTTGATGGGGTTCCGAAGAATCTTCGCCTACACTGAGGACTCACAGTGCGCGAATGGAAGGCGATCCAGGCCTTGCGTGAGATCGACGTCCCGGCCCTACGTCAGGAGAACCTCAGCCTACGCGCCAAAGCTGCTCGCCTGGAGAAGGATAACCTGATCCTCACAAAGGCCCTGGAGCAGTTGCGGGGTTGAGGCTAGCAAGACCGGCCAGAGTCTAGCTCTCGTGGCTGCAGCGCCTTGGGTTCTGAGCATGGTTCTCCCCGGCACAAGGCTGCTGGTATTAGCTGGAACTCGTGAAACGTCGTAGTGGGGAAAATTTTGTGGGTTTCTGAGGGCGCCTGCTCGGGGTTTCGGGCCGCCAGCTAGCGCTTCAGGGTTGCTTGCGGTTCAGCCAGTTGATCAATGCTTGGGGGCTGCAGAGGGTACCCTAAAGTCCAAACTCTAAAACACCCCTCCTCAACCATGCAGCGGCCTTTGGGGATGCGTTTGAGGGACACAAGATGTTGCCTCTTGACAATTTGCCGGTTCCAACGCCTGATGCGATCAGATGAAAAAGAGTGCGGGGGCACCGTAATGTTGACCTCGTAATAATAAACCCCACCCCCCCCCCCCCCTTCAATCAAACCCCCCCAAATAGAGTAGGGCCCCTTTGAATAAGGATTCCTTTCCTTAGAGCCCCCCTTCAATCAAACTCCCCCAAAAAAAACCAGCCCCGACTTGGCGTACTTTATTCCCAGGGCTTTATTATTGCGGCCGGGACCCCTGGCGCACTTTAATATCAGGGGGTTCAATAATACGAGGTTAACATTAGACTAGATGACCAGAGCTAAGCATCGGGAGACATCATCAGGCTGAGAAGTGGCAGCTTGTAGTAGCGGATGACTGAAGAATTGACCTTTTGGGTGACACGGAAGTAGGACGTGGCTATATGGTTCCGGTTTAGGGTGTTCAGGGTTGGGGCTGGGTTTCGAGTGTAGCAGGCCAACCCTAAACCCCTAATCCTAAACCCCTAATCCTAAACCCTTAACCCTAAACCCTAAACCCCAAACCTTTAACTTCGTCCGACAAAAGCGATTCTACAGGCCCACGGCCCCAAACCCTCAACCCTAAGCCCTAAACCCTAAACCCTAGACCCCTAAACCCCTAAACCCCGAAACCCTAAACGTGAACCTGGGCCCGAAAAAACACCGACATTGCGGTGGCCAGGCGTGGCTCATCCGGAACTCCGCGCGCTTTTGGACCTTTGTGGAGGTCCGGGCCAGGAGGTTCTTGGGGATTAAGGGATGTTTACGGTTTAGGGTGTGGGGTTTAGGGTTTTAGGTTCGTCCCCAATAGGGATTATGGGATTAAAGTAGGTATAAGGGGGAACATCCCAAGATTTAGGCATCAAACAGGGTCAGCCAGGAATACCCTCCGGAGTTTAGCGAATGTCAGCGTTCTGGCGGGGCCCGCTGCCGGGGCCCGCTGCCGGGGCCCGCTGCCCGGGGCAAGGCTATGGTTTAGTTGAACCGGGTTGTCGTGTGGTGACCGGTGGGCTGTTAGGTGCGGACCCCAACTACATGCCACGCCCCAGGCTGGCGCGCACGCTCTCCGGGCAGAAGACCGTAGAGGGCTCCGTGGCCCAGCTGTCTCTGGATCATGTCAGCTTGGTCATGTTCTGCAGCCCCGGGGCCGCAATTCTTTTCCTCAAGTAAGTTGATCCTTGGCATCCTTTGAATGTACATGAATGTTTTCAGAATGGCCGAGCCACAATCACATGGTAGCATGCTGCAGTGACCCAAGGAGACAAGATAAGTAAGGGACCCATCTAGTCAAGCAAGAGGCGCGTTTTGCGCCATGGCTGCTGAGTTATGCCACTTCGTGTCCATGCTGCTTCAAAATGCCGTGCAGTCATACCGCCAAGACCTTGAGAAGATTGGATGCGTGACGGTAGCGTCGCTTTGTGCCGGGCTAGACATGCTGCAGTACATCGCAGACTACGCTTTGCAGGTTTGGCCAAGCTTGCACATGTCTTCGGAGTTGCAGTTCCGCTATTTTTGTGCCGAGCTTGATCCTGTCAAGCGCTCCTTGCTTCTAGCACGTAAGCACCAACGGCTGCAGGTGGACCATGTTTTTGGGGACATTCGCATGCTGAGGAAGCCCTGCTTCGATTTCAAGACACGCAAGTTCGTGAAGCCTCAAGCGCCACAAATTCTGATATGCGGTTTTGCCTGTCAAGATCTCTCCACGCTGAACAACCACCCAAAGCCTTTTGATCTCCAAGATCCGAACCATGGTGTCTCGGCCAGAACTTTCCACACTACCCTGCAGTTGATACAGCAGTGGCAGCCAAGCTGGGTGATCATGGAGAATGTCCCGGGCATTTGCAAGGCAGCTTTGCGAACAGTGTCCCTAGACAAAGCAGCAAGACGCTTTCTTTCTTTCTCTTTCAATTTGTCTACCCGGCGTTGTCCCTAGTCCGCACTGCAATGCGTTATCGCCGTTGCTTTCACGCCAGGCTCCAGCTCATGTTTGAAGCCGGGTACTACAGCGCCCATGCGAAGTTGAATGCCATGCAGTTTCGGCCCCAAAGCCGATGTCGGGTCTATATGATTTTCAGGAAGCGCATTCCCAGCTGCGCCCGTGGCAGGCCGGAGGCAGTTTTCCAGAAAGTTCCGGCTCTCCTCCAAGGATATGTCAGGCCATCCTTGCAACAAGTCTTGGACAGCCTGCCTCCTTGGGTTCGAAGTCGCTCGCGGGGTCGGGGAGTGCGAGCTTCAAAGGGCAAGAGATGGCTGGTGCGATCCTGGAGATTCGAGAAGAAGCATGGGCTCGCAACTGATTCCTTAGCTTCGTTGAGGGCCAGACTGTCCAACGTGCCTGCTGCCCAGAAGCTCACCCGCCAGCAGATGCGACTGCTCGTAAGTCGCATGGCCTACCTCCAGAAAGAAGGTCAGGTTGACGAGTCATTCGATGATTGGGTCTTTGGCCTAGATCAGAGTGTTGACCGCGCTATCGTACTGCGTGCTTGCACGCCATGCGTTACACCTAACTGCGTGTTTTGGTACCAAAACCGGCTGATGAACCCATGGGAAATGGCAGCCTTGCAGGGCGTGACTCTGTCAGAGATGGCTGAGCTTCGAGATCAGGATGCATCTTTGGTCCAGAGTTTGGCCGGCAATGCCTTTTGCACCCACGTCATTGCAACACTGTTCGTTGCTCTATTGACGGAGTTAACTAAGTAGCCACAGGCCTTAGCAGGGGCTTAGCTGGCAATTGCTAGCTGTCTGCCATGACGCCTGTTTGGGGTTCAGGCGGTTGTGAGGAAATCAGTCTTGCGTTAGCAGTGATGCCAATCAGTGTCAGCAAGCTTGTCTTGCGTCAGCAGTGGTGTCAGCCAGCAAACATGTCTTGGCACAGCGTCTTGAGACAGTTTGACGTGACCTTGGCGGCACTTGGCTCTCAGTATGGCGTTTTTCTTGCTGCTGCTGTAGTGCGTGCAGCACGAGCCAGGACCTGCTTGATTTTTGCAGTTTCACACAGGAACCACGAGGTTACTTGTGCCTATGCCCCAGGGGCATAGGCGCAAGCAACCCTCACCAGGCGCAAGTAACCTGGGTTTGTTGTGCTTGCCCCAGGCTACTTGTGCCTATGCCCCGAGGGCATAGGCGCAAGTAACCAGCCTCTGCCCTTCAACACTTGAGAGCGGCAGGATGTCGGACACGGAAGCCGTGGGTCAGGTCGAGACCCCCGTCGGCGAAAACCCCATCGTCGCCTTCATACTCGGCCAGGCCAAGTAACCGCGATTCTTCAGCCATTGTGTTTCAACTTTTTTCTTGAGACCAAAGCCTCCGTGCGAGGATGCCGCAGCTATAGATGCTGCCTTGCAGAGCGCCGCTTTCCGTGAATACCTCATGGATCTGGGGCGTGAAGAAGACAATGATTTTCTACCGCTCTATCAGCTTTCTTCTTCCAGTGGTCAGGATCTCAAATTTGTACTGTCCATGTGCCACGTTCAGCAGCGATCGGCTGAGACTCTGCAAACCTCAACCAGGTCTGGATGCTGGCTGGAGGGAGGTCTCTTTGCACACAATGTGTGAAAAGACTCGGCAGCTGTGCGCTGAGAAGCAATGGTCCGCACAGTTGCTTCTCCGCATGTGAGCTCTGCTCCTAGTGATTCCAGCTGGCGCTTGGCGGCTGCATGCCCATGCGTCTTACTACTTGGCCGCCAAGGCTGAAGCTGCGAAAGGAGACGGTGGAGCCGGGGATGTACACCTTTGTGTCCGGACATCACCGGGCCAGGGCCATGTATGGCATCGCATTGTGGTGTCGGAAACTTATTGTGTGTGCAAGCCTGACTTGCCGGGTTCGTTGCGTGCTTCCACGCCCAGGCTTCCACAACCAGGAGCAAGCTGCCACGGACGAGTGGAAGTGGGCTTTGGCGATGATGGCCAAGGTTCCGTGCACCATCGAGGAAATGACCCTCACGCAGGCCAGTGTGGCAGGCTCGAGACTTCTGATCCATGATTCCATGATGCGCGTGGGCGTGGGGGCGCGGAAAGCCATCCAATGTCTATGTAACCTGTGCAAGACCCTCTAGGCTTGGCGCGCTGCGCGAAGAATTTGATCACGACAACAGCTTTCACATACGTCCAGCTGCTGTGCTTGGCACATGCTAGAAATTGGACGCTACAGGAGCTGCGTGGCTGATCCATGGTTTTTCTGCTTTGCTCCGCTGAGCTTTCAGTCTCCCTCCTGGATGTAAGGTTTCAGCAGCTTCTGCGAAAAGAGATTGCTGGCTTGGCCGATGATGAGAAGATTTTCGGATGGAAGCAACTGCGCTCCATCTTCAAGCGAGTGTCTCTGCAGTGCTTGGCAGTGCTGCTCGAGGCGCAGTCGCGCTATGGGCATGCCGCTTGGATGCTTTGCGGCGCAGCAAGGAGGGCCCAATAATTGGGGCGGGGTTGGAGTATAAGATGCTTTGAGCCCTGGACCCTGGACCCTGAGTGTGGCATGAATTTCTGGCATGGCAAATGCTTGGAAGCACAGTAGGACGGGTAGAGATCTTGCCTGTCTCCTGGCGTTCTCCTGCGATGCTAGGCGGAGATCTTCCCAAAAAGCTGGTGGAAGCCGCCCCTGCTGCTGCCGTCGGAAAGGGAGCGGTCCGGCGCGACGAGCATGCAGCCCGCGTGCCAGCTAGCCTTTGTGAGGCGAATAGTGGCCGAGGCCTGGCAGCGCATGTTGCGCCAGATTGCCCTTCCAGACGTCCCGTAGACCGTGCTACATTTGTTCATGTCGTCGGCCAGGGCATGAAACAGAGGGCCTGCGAGAACTTCAACCCTGCAACCTGATACATGCACTTAGAACGCGCGCAGTTTCTGCCGACAGCTGTTATAGGTCCACAAGGCGATCGAGAGCTGGCTCGAGAATCATGAGAAGGCCACATCGGCCGAGTTGACGAAGGCCGCCGCTGGCATTAGCATTGCCAAGGTGGATTCTGCAAAGCGCGCGCAAGTCAAGGACTTGGCATTTGCTTTTGCGAAGGCTTGGGCGGAGGGGTCTGGTTGGGGGTCGTATATAGGCTTTTGCCTTGGGCGCAGCTTTTCCTGCTTTGTTCACGGGCCTCCAGGCTGTTTACGAGCAGCCTGCAGCCGGGCTCCACTTGTCTGAGCGGGAGCAAAATGCGGTGCTAGATGCATTTTCAGCTGGTCTCCTGGATGGCGTATTGAAGGCCAATCAGCCTGTCCGCACGTGGCCACTGGTCACACGCCTGAAGGCTCAGGAAGCAGAGACAGCCAAGAAGGCCAAGGAAGCAGAGCTGGCACAGCAAATAAGAGAGCAGCGCAAGCAGCTGGATGATGCCTTGCAAAAAAAAGAGGACCTTCGTCTGATGCTAGCTGACAGTGGTAGACTGCTTGTTCAGGGTTTCTTGTTCGTTGCATACAAAACAATCGAGGACATCATGGGCGTGCAGATGCAACTCTTGCGAAAACAAGTGGAAAATGTTTGGCTTCACGCCCGGGACAAAGGTGCCGAGATGGTTTCCGAGGCGTGCGAGCTCATCGCCGGAAGCCACAAGAGGAAGCAGGAGCAGAAGCAGCAGGAGGCAGGTTGGGGCTGGGGTCTTTCTGCCGTGTGCACAAAAAGACGCTACTTCAGCGCCGGACCTTGGGCGGCTTTCCCTTGTCACTAGTCGACTTCTTTTGCGAATGCGTATGATTTCTCCCTGGATCAGGCGGCTCGCCGTTTCCAGATCACGGACTTGCGACCAGGGCAAGACAAGGTGCCACTGACGTGGCTGGATTTGGCCAATGGGAAGAAGGTTGTCACTGGGGCCTGAAATTCTAGATCCAAGAAATTGCAGGTGATACTGCCGGCCACTGTGCCCAAGCATGTGCGCTCTGCTGTTGTGCAAGTGTTCGTCGTCGAAAGCCGAGGTGACCTGCATTGATTTCAATCTTCCATCCCTCAGAGGAGCAGAAGAGGACTGGGAGGAGAAAGGAGTTGTTGATAGGGTGATGGGCTGCCGGGAATACTTTTCGAAGTCATTTCTGGGTGTCTCGGGCTCAAAGTGGGGTCCCAGTGCTCAGATACATTGTGCTCGCAAAGTTGGTTTAGGGGTTTTTAAGGGAGCTAGGGGGGGGGGGGAGTTGGAAAGCATTCAAAGCCTTGATTCCCAAGCCCCTCGCTTGGAGAAGCCTTCAAAGCCTTGATTCCCAACCCCCCCCTGAAGCCCCCTTGAAGGGGGGGTTGAAAAAGGCTTCAAGCGATGCATTGTGCTCGCGTTTATTTGGATCCCCCTTTGAATTTGAAGGGGGGGGGTTCATTAAAAAGCACTCAAAGCCTTGATTCCCAACCCCCCCCCTCAAGCCCCCTTGAAGGGGGGGTTGGAAAAGCCCTTTGATTCCCAATGCCCCCCTCAAGCCTCCCTGAAGAGGGGGCAAGCCCGCTTCAGGGGGTTTAAGGCTGTCGCGATATTGTCCGCTTGGGGGTTGGGGGGGGGTGTGAGCTACTTGTGAAATCACACATTTTGTTGTGAAATCACACATGCGGTCCTTAGCCGCAGATGACCGTGACATCACAGATCTCTTTTGTGAAATCACACACACCGGGTCGTCTATATGGCAAGCGGCTCAGCAAATCACTAATGGGGTCATGCTTAGAGAGGGAGCTGATCGGATAGATAGATTGCAAAGGACCAATGTGTGCTAGCGGCTGCAGTGGAAGCGGTTTTGGACCCGGTCTGGACCAGCGAGTTGCTGGTGATTCTTCTCCCGGTGGCGGTGCCTGGGCAGTATCACCTGGCTTCAGAATGCTAGCGCAGGGCCTAGGGTCCTTTTTGTCCAGGCTTCCGGAGCGGTGCGCAAGCTCAGGAGATACTGACGTCCACTGAGCTGATGTGTTTGCAACGACTGCAGGGGACGATGGAAGTGAGACGCCGCGTGGTGAACTTGCCCGACCAGCCGCCATTTGGAGCAGGTACCGTCTTGCAAATATTGGTCGCTTGCAGAAAGACTGGCCCTGAGTGGGCCCAGGCAATGGCCAAATGGGCGGCGTCCTGCCGCTCCACGCAGGCGCCGTGTGACTTTCGGCCCACGTTGAGGTCAGTCCACCGCCACGCGGTGTCGGCGCCGGACAGCTTCGGTGTGGTGTTCTTCAAATGGTTGCTGCAAGATTTCCTCGGCCTGGGCAAGTCCGACAAGGATATCTTGATCGCGGAAGTGGAGGCATCTCAAGGGCAGCTTTTCGAAGCTTTGCTTGAGCTGGTTCCTTCGGCTGCCTATGTTGGTGGTGTGATAGCCAGCCACTCGCGTGGCGCGGCGCTGAAAAGCAAAGCAGAAGCACTCATGGACGAGGCCGAGCCCCTGCTGCCGAGACCTGCAGGCCGCCCCTTGAAGCAGACGTTGTCGAAGACGACGGAGACCCTTGAGTCCCTCAACGCAACCGCCGCCCAGTGGGACGTGTTTACCATGAACAGCGCTCCGAGCGAGTTGGCGACCTTGTGCCAGCAGTGGACCAGTGCTTGGCGTGTCCTCACTACCAACTTTGAAAAACACCAGAAATCCCCACTTCACACGGATGGCCCCGGGGCCTTCCTCACTGATGGCCCGAAAGACCACGCGCAAAGCAGATCCCCGAGAAAATGCTTTTCTCGGGAGTGGACGCCTGAGCAGCGCATTGTTGACACAATGCGCTCTGCGTGCCCTAAGATTCTGATGGTACGGTCCATGGTGGAGCACTCCTTGATCGTTTACCCCAGCTTGCCACTCGTCCTAGCATGACCTGAGCCTTGTCAGATCGCCTTAAGTGACGTCTGTTTCAAACCACTGCCCGATTGAGGTTGAAGGAGAACCACTTGGCCGTGTATCCAGCTAAAGACTTCGCAGCAGGGGACACCGTCATTTCTCTTGCCGGGAAGTGGTTGTCTGAGAGCGAGTTGGCCAAGGGCAGCGAGTACAGCAAGGCCATCATGTTGCAGTTTATGGAAGGAGCCAGCACAGCCCTGAAGTTGTTCCTGCCACTTCGGGAAGGCGGGCTGTGATTTGTATTCATGCCTCATTTCCCCTGAGCTCGAAACACTAATGTGTAACACGCTGTTCAGGTGCCGACTTGTTCGCCAGCTTGCACTTCCTGGACCCGGCGTACAAGGCTTCACTGGACGATGGTGACGAGGGCTTGGACAGGCCCGCGCAGATCCACGTCCTGGAGAGCTCCTTCTTGTTTTCCACTACTGCAGATCCTGTTCTGGAGCTGAAAGCCTCGAAGGCTTTGGGCGCCTTCCAGTGTGAGCTGGGCGTTTGCTTCCAGCGGTACAACGCGGTGCCGCCGTTGCAGCCGCAGTTGCAGAGTGCCAAGCGCAAGGCGGCGCCGCCGGTGCCTGACCAACAGCAACAGGAGCCTGCAGACGACATTGATAAGGATGCGAAGTGCCAGGCACTGGTGCCAGAGGAGGATCAGCAGAAGCAGCCGGGAATGAAGCGTCCAGCTTTGGCAGTGGAGAGTGAGCAGCAGGAAGCCCCCACAAAGCAGGCGAAAGCGAAGAAAAAGCCTGCCGCTTCCAAGCGTGCCCGCAAGGCGCCCGCCGCCGAAGATGAAATCTCAGCGGCGCGCAGCCATCCACTTTTCCGTCAGTTCATCGCCGAGGCTTTCGATGGCAAGGAGGAAATGTTTGGACTGGACGAAGAACAGGACATGTACATGTGGGTCGCCTTCGTGGAGCTTTACGAAGCTGCCGACTGATCCACCGTCGCCCTGTGCTGTGAAAGGCGCCAAAGGCCCTGGCAGCTGCTGCTTGATCTCAGCTTAGACTCCGCCCAATGCGTAGTCAGGTCGACAACGCTCGACGACATTCCGCACTGCCCGCGTAGCATTTTGGGACCGTTTTGGCGTGCTTGCAAGAGCTTGCTTCGTGTCGCAAGGCTGTGGCACTCATGGGTGCGACTTCTAGTCAAGTTTGTCGAGAGTCAGCACTGCAACAGACTGCAAGCCACAGGTGTACTAGCTACTGAGGGCACAATCCTTGGCCGCCGGCACCGTTTTGGCGTGCTTACAAGAGCTTGCTGCGTGTCGCAAGGCTGTGGCAATCATAGGTGCCACTTCTAGTCAAGTTTGTTTCTCGAGAGTCAGCACTGCAACAGACTGCAAGCCACAGGTGTAAGCTACTGAGGGCAGAGCCCTTGGCCGCCGGCCTTCTTAGTGTAGTCAGGTCGACAACGCTCGACGCCATTCCACACTGCCCGCATAGCGTTTGGCACCGTTTTGGCGTGCTTACAAGAGCTTGCTGCATGTCGCAAGGCTGTGGCAATCATAGGTGCCACTTCTAGTCAAGTTTGTTTGTCGAGAGTCAGCACTGCAACAGACTGCAAGCCGCAGCTGTAAGCTACTGAGGGCAGAGCGCCTTCTTCGCCGTGGCACGCCTCTGATTCAGCATGGGCCTCAGCGAATTTCCAATCAAGTGTGTGTTTGTACCTCCTGCCAACACTTCCAGACAAAGCTTGAACGTCCATGTCATGGATTACGGTGGAAAACTTGCTGCCGTTTCTCCTTGAACAGTTTCACTTGCGATGGGGGTCGTTGTTGATATGGAGGTCTGTCTTTAGACTTATGTTTTCAGGGCTTTGGCTTCATTGCCGGAAGCCGGCGCCTCAAGGAACTCAATATCTAGAGGGTGCAGAATAGAGGTATTCCATCAGACCACTGCTTGCAGGAGCTAGTTTTTTCATTGCGTGAGTTAGTGGGAACTCCGCAAAGCCATGGACAGCCAAGAGTTGCCATGGACGCTAGGGGCTATGCCGCGACAGAAGGTCACTGACCTGAGAGATGAAATTCGCAAACGCGGCCTCGACGACCGTGGAAACAAGGAAGAGCTTGTTGTCCGGTTGAAAAAGCATTGCCAAGAGCTTCGGACCAGAGCTATGGCAAGTTCTCAGCAGTCAGCCCCGCCGCAAGCAAAGTGCGAGCCTGTGCCACAGGAGCCAGTCAAGCAAGAGCCAGCTGAGCTGCAGATTCTTGCGCCGTCTGATTCTGAGTGGGAAGCTGATGCCTCCACCCCGACAAAACAGCGCAGGGAATCTGCCGCAGAGGATGAGATGACGCCCGAGAAGCCAGCGGTTGACAGCAGCGCTGCTCGAAAGATCATGGCCCAGATGTCTGAGGACAACCGTGCCTTGCTGGTCGGCAAGCACATCGCCCGCACGCAGCCTGCAGTGTTCTGCAAAATTCTAGTTTCCTTGGTCAAAGAAATGGAAGCTGAGGAGGCTCGCAAGGCCATGCTTTCCAAAGGTTTACCTTGTGTGATGAAACAACCAATCAAAACATCGAACAGCGGCTTCCCGGTTGCGTCAGGCGGCCGACAAACCCGATGTGCACACACCGAAAGACAAGGACGGTGGCATTTGGGGGCATTTCTACCTGCTGCACTCTGCGCCAGGGTTTGCGTTGCGTGTCCTTGCATAATTTTTTCAGGCTGCAGCCGTTACAAAGAAACTTAAAGTGCGAGCTTCAATGTATTCGCTCTTGCTGTGCCCTCCTCCGACCAGGTACTGTCGTGTTTGCTGCCCGTTGACCCAAGACAAGACTCCGACGCCGCGTGATACTTGGAATTTGATCGGGGTAAAAAAATATGGTGCCAGCAGGGCCACCACCAACTTGTGGGAACATTGCAGAACGCACCATGGCGTTCTGAAGGACCCTGAGGACTTGCGCGCTGGACCGCCTTACAACGCATCGACTCAGCAACGAATTCAGGAATTGCTGACGTTGGGCTTTGTGGTGAAGGATCTGCGCTGCATGCGTGTGTTCGAAAGCAGCGGCGCGGCACATGCGTTGAGCATTTTGAATCCGCGGGCGAGGATGCCGCTGAACTTATGATGCGTTGTTGTAAGGAATCCAACTACCTCACTAGTCGTGTTTTCGCCCGTAGGGATGCTAGTGCAGACGAAGCTGAGGCCAGACCACCACCAGACGGCTCGCATTGTCGACGCCTATTTTGAAAAGCAGTCCGAGCTCTTGAAGAAATCCGTTTTGGGCTTGCGGCGCGTGGGCAAGAAGGTTGACAAGCTGCTTGTGGCAGAAATTGACTGCTGGCCATCCCCTTTCGATCATAATTATTTTGGAGTTCTCCTGCACGGCCTCACGGAGAATTTTGAGCCACGAAGCTTCTTGCTGTACACAGACATTCTGGGTACGCCGGAAACGGCGCAGAACCAAGGGCAGCGACTCTTGTCAGTATGTCGCGACATGCTGGGCGATGACATCACTGAGGTTTGTTGGGCAATCCAGAGCGACAACACTCCAAAGGCTTCGAATGTCCCGGCGGTTTTGAACCTGCGCTCGCTACGGTGCTTCGCGCACATTCTAGCTTTGGGGCCAACGCACCTGCTGCACCCCGTGCGGCGCCAAAGAGATCGGGCACCTGTGTGGGTTATGCATGAGAATGCGGTGCCGGAGGTATACGACTTCTGCGAACGCTTGAGGGCATTCATCAAGCACTTGGACCGGCACGAAGAGCTTCGTAAGAGCTTGACGGTTATCTTGCGACGCCACAATAGCCGGATCTTTAAGTTGCCCCTGGATTCTTCTTCGAAGTGGAACAGCACATTCTTCATGTTAGATACCTTCACCCGGATGCAAGCCTCGATCATGGACTGGCTGTCAGTTTACGGGGACAAGCTGCCCCGAGGAGCTGGCGTTGCCCTGGATGACTTCCGCTTGGCTCGTCAGCTGGCGGGCGTCTTGCGCCCAGTGTTCTGTTGCAGCCAGCTGATGCAGGGGAATGCCTTCAAAGGCAGCAGCGTCTTGCCATTGCTTCATACGTTAGAGACTTGGCCGTAGCGTAGTCTGTTTTTTTTTGCAATAGAGTTGATTGACTGGCGTGCAAAAAGTGATTTCAATGTTTTTTTTTCTATAGCTGCTGGTTTGTCGGCCTCAGGAAAAAGACCTTGAACCTGCAGCTGTTGTGGAGGTCGCGGATGCTGCAGATGGACAGTTGGTGGCCGTCTCGGATGCAGACCTACTACCTGCGATACGCAATTTCCGCGCAGGCCTCCGCAATGACCTGGAATACAACAAACGCCATCTAGAGGGCTCCATGCGCGAGCTGGAGATCGCTGCTGCTCTGGACCCCAGGTACAAGGACCTTGGGTGGATGACTGTGGCCAAGCGGCAGTCGCCAGGGCTTTATTATTAAACCTTTCACATACCGTGTGGCTCTCCTTTTCGTAGTGGAGTCTGCATTTCTGCCGATACGATGTGTTGCTTGCTCTTTTGACCGCCAGGTCAGTCAGGACAGCTCTACGCGACCTAATCCTCGAACAAGGTGTGCCAGATATGCCACCAGTGCCTGCGCCCAGGGAGAGGGCGCCTGACCGTGGCCCAATTGATGGGATGGCTGGCTTTTTGGAGCGCGGACGTGCTCACTTGAACCAGGTCGTTCCAATTCCGGCTGACTCCCGAGATTTCCGGCAGACGGTGCAGGAAGTTTTGCAGCTGCATTTCAATGCCCCGAGTGCGCCGCTCAATGCAGATCCGCTTGCAATTTGGGCTGACCGTGTCAAAAAAGGTGGGCCGATGGCAGTCTATCTAGCCCCAGTTGCCCGAAAATACTTGGCGATCCCCGGGGCCAGCGGCTCCATAGAGCGAGTTTGGTCCACCGCGAGAACTCTGCTGCAGTTCAACAAAGCTTGCCTCGAGGGCGGGCGCGTCTCCAAACTGTTGCCGCTACGGTACAATCTTGAGGCTTTAGGCTTGTGGCCAATGAAGTTCGACCTCCAGTGACTGACGGCAACAGTAGCAGCAACGGCATCAGCGCTCCCAGCTGATCCAGATCCTGCTTCAGGATCTGGCGGGCTTGGAAAGCAAGGGATCTTGCAGTTTCTGCGGCACTTCAGCACCTGCGTGAAAAGACCGATCGCCATGCTGTGTGAGAGTTGCCGGAATGGAGGATGAAGAGACTCCTGGATTCCAGGCGGCTCATGTCTGAATGTCTGAAGGTGTAGGACCTAAGCAGGCTTCACCGACCATCGGCCGAACAGCCCAATTTGCAACCGTTCCTTGAGGTCCTTGCGTCCACGAAGCTTCTACGAAGATGTCACCCGTTGCCTGCCACCTGCTTGCACTATTCGCGGGGATTCGAGAGAGAGAGGATGTTCTAGAGTCCAGCGTTTTGGGTTTCAGGTGTAATGTTGTCGTCGCTTAAAGCCCTTCCCAAGATTGGGATCAGCACAATACTTTTGGGGGGCCCGAGTGGAAATAGTAAACCTTGGGGACCTTGGGGGCCTGGCCGCTCTGCCTCTGCCGGGCCTTGTCGGGGGCTGGTCACGGTAGTGTTGACAGGGATTAAATCTTGAGGTTTTGGGATACCCGATAGCCGTGGTCAAGCGGCACTGCATTTGCCTCCGGGCCTCGCTCATCCACGCGCACCTTGGCGGCGATCCACTGGGTTTCGGAGCACGCTATAGAGGCTTGAGGCGCAGCACGTTGTAGGCTCAAGCTCTAAAACTCCTAAGTCCACGCAACGCCAAAACCCGAAACGACGAGCTCCAAACCCCCCGACACCTCGACCACCAACCTCGACCGTTGCAGGCGCTGATGGCCGGCGAGGTTTTCAGGGCCTTCGAGGATCTCAAGGACTCGCCTCCTGGACATCCTTTAACCTGACTTAATGGCGTCCTCACTAATTAGGCCCCACCTTACTGTAAATTCTCAGGGCTCAACGCCTCGTGACTTCTTAAGGCCTTCGTTGCTCCTTGGCAACCTGCCAGGAAGCGCAAGTGGCTCTGCGACAACCCGCGCTTTGAGATGCGATGCGCGTAGCAAAAAAGTCTGGCTGCGTGCAGCTGGCGGCCGTCGGTGTTGTGTGGCATGTGTGGCGCAGGGATTTGAGGTGGTCAACCTAGGGGTGGTGGGGACACTCAGGCTCAGAGGTGGTGTGGCTGTTTGTGTTTGCTTTTGTGCCTGCCTGTCTGTCTGTGTGTCTGTATGCATGCAAACACAAAAGAGGGCCGACGCGATCGATACGATTCATGTGTCGATCCAACCGATTGGCCGATACATCGCGAAGCCCAACCTACCCTGAATTCATTAAAATTCATTAAAATTTATTTAAATTTTTTTTAAATTAATTAAAATTTTTTAAAATAAATCAAATTAATTAGCATTAATTTTATTAATTTAAATTAATGAAAATTTATTAAAATTAATTGAAATTATTTCAAATTGATTGAAATTGATTAAAATTTATAAAAATTTATTAAAATTTATTTTTATTCATTAAAATTCATTAAAATTCATTAAAATTATTTAAAATTAATTAAAATTAAAATTAATTAAATAATTAAATTAATTAAATTAATAAAATTAATTAATATTGATTAAAATTAATTGAAATTTATTGAAATTTATCAAAATTGATTCAAATTAATTAAAATAATTAAAATTAAATTAAAATTGATTAAAATTAATAAAAATTAATTAAATTAATTAAAATTCAGTAAAAAAACAATTAAAATTAATTAAAATTCGTTAAAATTAAATAAAAGTAAAAATTCATCAGAAAATTAAAATTGCTTGAAATTAAGCAAATTTTCAATTAAATTAATTAGAATTAGTTAATATTGATTAAAATTAATTAAAATTAATGAAAGAAATAAAAAAAAATTAAAACTAAATAAATAAGCAAAATGAATACAAATTCATTAAAATAATGAAATTAAATTGAAATTAATGAAAATTTCTTGAAAACTAATTAAAATTAATGCAAGTTAATCATTTTTTCAATTAATTATATTTTTTTTGCAATTAATTAAAATTAATTAAAATTGATTAGAATTGATTAAATTAATTCAAATTAATTGAAATTATTAAAATTAATCAAAACTAATTAAAAATCAATCAAAATTCATCAAATTGAATAATTTAAAAACATTAATTAAATTAATTTAAAATCAATTAAATTTAACTCAAAACTCATTCAAAGTCATAAAATTAATTCAAACTAAAAATGTATTTAAATCATCAAATTAATTAAAATAAATTAAAATAAAGTAATCAATTTTAGACATTGACAAGTAGTTTTAGCTAATTTAATTTGTTTTTTTTTTTTTTTTTTTTAAGTAAACACTAATTAATAAGTTTACTTAATTTTGATTAATTTTAATATTAAGTTTAACGAATTTTATTGAATTTGCTCAGTTTTTTGAATTTTAATTTATAAATTTTAATATTAAAATTAAATTAATTCTAATTAGTTTTCATTAATTTCAATTAGTTTAGTTAATTTTAAATGCTTTGAGTAATTTTGACTTTTTCCAGAAACAATTTTGAGTTTTTTTTATTTATTTTTTTTTTACATGATTTTTTAATCGATTTTAAGCAACTTTTAATTCATTTTAACTAATTTTTAACTAAAAATTTTGTTTGCGTTGATTAATTAAAAAAATTAGTTTTTTACATCTTAATTTTACCTATTTAGTTAAGTTTGATTAGTTTTATCTAGTTTTAATTAATTTAGATTAATTTTAATTATTATTCGTTAATCTCGATTAATTTTGAGTATTTTAAGTTTTTTTTCAATTAAGTTGATTTTTTTTTAAATTTCAATTAATTTTAAATGGTCTCATCAGTTTTTTTTAAAACAGTATTGAATTTTAAATTCAATTTTCTTTGTTTTAAATTAATTTATCAATTTTTTTGATTAGTTCTAATTCATTTTAATTAATTACAATTAGTTGAATTAACGCAAATTAATGTGAATTAATATTAATTTACTTCAATTTTTATTTTAAATTAATTTCAATTTATTTGAGTGTTTTTTACGTAATTTTAAAGATACTAATAAATTATTTTTGATTTTGATTATTAATTACTTTTCATTAATTTTTATTAATTAATTTTAATTTTTTAATTGATTTTTCTTAATTTAAATAGTTTTTACATAATTTAATGACTTTTCATTAATTTTAATTCATTGATTTAATTTTTAAAAAATTTTAAACTTTTGCAAGGTTGTTGATCTGAATGTAGTTTGAATCTAACTTAAATTACTTTTTGAATTAATTGTATGTTTTTGAAATGATTTTAATTCATAATTTGAAATCAAATTTGATTAATTTTAATTAGTTTGAATTAAGTTTTTTCGTTTTTTCAGTATATTTTAATGAATTTTTTTATTACTTTCAAATCAAATTGTTTTGATTTTAACAGTTCTTTGATGAATTTTCATTTGTTTTCATGTTTTTGAATCATTTTAAATAGATACGTTTCACAAACATTTACATAAACTAATTAATCTTAATTATTCTTGATCAGTTTTAATCAATTCTTCTTAATAAAAATAATACTCATTTTAATTTGTTTTCAGTCGTTTTGCATTTTTCATCAGTTTTTGTGCTTACTTGTAATTTGTTTAATGCATTTTATTTAGTTTTATTTAAGTGAAACCTCATTTCCAGGTTAGGGGTTTGGGTAGGGCTTGAGGTTTGGGCATTAATTACACTGGAGCTAAGGGGTCGGGGGTAGCTTAAGGGTGAGGAGGCAGGAGCGAAGGGGGGGGCCTGGGTCGGGCCTGAGGGCGGCGGGGGTTTGGGCAGACGGGGTCGCGAGCCAACATCCCCAACCCCTCACCGCTACCCTTGCTTCCCCCGCCCTCCCCGCCCCTCCACCCCTGATGGGGCTCCAGTGCATGATTTAGGGGCTCCAACGCATGCCCAAACCCCGCCGCCCACCGCTGCCCTTGCTCCACGATCCCGCCCCTCCACCGCTGCACTGGAGCCCCTAAAACACTTCATTTTCAGGTAAAGGGTTGGGGTAGGGCTTGAGGTTCGTGCATGCGCTGGAGCCCTGAAACACCTCATTGCCGGGTAAGGGGTTGGGGGTAGGGCAGGAGGAAGGGGGGGGGGGGGCGCTGGATTGGGCTTGAGAGGGGTTGGGGGGTAGGGCTTGCGGTTTGGACATTCCCGAGAAAGGGGTTGGGGGTAGGGCTTGAGGAAGGGGGGGGGGGGGGGGGCGGCAGGGCGCTGGGCTTGAGGGTGAGGGGAGACGCTAAGGGGTGAGAGGGGACACGGTAAGGGGTCAAGAGGACACTATGGGTCTTCAATGACGCCGAGCCGGTGCCGCTGGGGTCGGCGGATATATTTATTTCTATATATGGAAAGACACGGGTCACCTTGTCCAGCGACACCTTTGCCACCAACCGATCATTGTTCAGCTCACCGGCCTCCATTGGGCACCAAAATGCGTCTACGTCGAGTCCAGGTTTTCAGAGTCCTCTATGCCTCGATGCTGTCCTGTTGCCCTCGCTGAGGTGGCGCAAGTCCTCCAGCGCTTCCGCGCGCCATCTTCGGAGCGCGAGGTGCGTGGCACACATTTTTTGCACACGCTGCACACTTGGTAATCTTTACATCTTCGCTGGTGCCTCTTGTCAGCTCTCTGTAGCTCCTTGAACTTTAGGGCAAGGGCCTTCCTGCACGTGGAGTTGGGTGGGGTGCGTTTTCATTGAAAATCTGTGCTGCAATTCACGTTCCCGCACAGAGAAGTCCAAACTTGAAGACATCGCAAAAAAAAGCACTTGGAAGCACTTGGAAGCACTTGGTAGAATCAGGAGACACAGGGCTCAGCTCGAAGAGCAACTGCGAGAACTGCTCCAGGCATGGGCACTGGAGGTGTCCTGGTACGACTATCGCGCCGCTCGGCTTAGGAGCCGAAGGACTTTCGGGGGCTGTGGGGCCAAGACTCCCCGTATCTTGTTGCACTAAGGCATTGTTATGTTTCAGTGTCAT